CGAGATATATAACCCTAAACCCTAAAAACCTAAAACCCTTATATATGTGATCGATATAATGACCATGTACTGATCTATGACACGTAGGAATACTCACCTTTGCCACAATTGTTAGCGGTCGAACACAACGAAGTCTGCAAATGAATGTTATATCTAATACAAATGCGCATATATGGACACACCAATTGTAGGATCATCTTCCGGACATGGCTCAGAACAGTCGGTGAAACCCCCAATCGACGATAGCGTATCATGACAGCAGCTTTCTACAGGGCATGTGGCAACTATGGGTGTACTGAAACCGAGACCTCCCTCAAGCAAATCTCCAGGGGTGCAATGGGTGTCTGTATTGTTACATCCAGCTGCATATGCACATCCACCGACTTGTTCGACACATTTACGGCCAGATGAATTGGGCACCATATTTGCATCACATTGCAAACATACGGACAGGCCTTGTGATTGTCCGAATACCAGACAATTATTTGGAGGCAGTGCTTTTTCTTCTTCAGTCTCCACGACACAACTCTGGTCACAAACCGTAAAGTTGACACCGATTGCGCTTGTTTGTGGTTGACAACAGTGCTCTATCGGGCATACAGGTACGATCGTTGTGTTGTAGCCGTTCTCATCGCCTAGATAAATCCCTGACGGTCCGCAAAAACTCCCCAATGTGTAGTTACATCCTGCCCCACTGCGACATCCTCCAATATATAAGTCGCAAGTAGTGCCGAGTACACTAGGAATGTAGTCAGGATCACATTGCACACATAGTATCATGTCGCCCTCCATGCGTGTTTGAAAGCAGTTTTCAATAGCTTGTGGCTCTGGTTCATCAGGACACGGGTTATCGCATGCTGTAAAACCTACCAGTGATGGTTTTGAAGTCTCTGGAAAGCAACACTGCGCGAGGGGACAAACGGCCACAACTGGCGACGTGTAATCCACTAGTCCATTGTAAATAGAAGATGGCCCGCAGAAATTTATCAAGTTATACAGCTGGCACCCTATAGACTCGGGGCAACCTCCAACCACATGCTCACAACTTGTACCATTGGAATTAGGGACCATATTCGCATCGCATTGCAAACAGACAGACGTGTCACCAAAGCAAGCGTAATTAATACAACCTGGGATGGTGTTACCCACGCTGCAAGGAGCTCCTGCCCATACTCTGCCTACATTGAATAGTGATGTGCCAACTATCCCTTTCTTCAAACTCTCGTCCGATCCAATCGGTGATATAGCTTGTAATAATGCGCTTTCAAACCCTTGCAGACATACAGTATCGCATACTGTGAGAACTAACGTAGTCGTCGACGTTAGATGTAGGGACACGCCGTTATCAGGTGAAAGGTATATGTCGACGAGCGAGATACTGTCAGGGTGACATGGTCCGTTGCTACAGGCTTTTTCGGTGAGGTCAGCAACGATGCGCTGTGCCGCGGTATCGTTGTGCATCAAATCTCCACTCCAATAAATTTCAACTGTACTGCATTGAATATTGTCAATGGCACATTCTTCACCTACTACATACGTGACGGTAACAGTTGACGTTTCAACGTGCGTGGAATACACATTTTCGATTAAACTTGTGTCGGTGATGGGCTTTATGGCTTCAGCTAAAGAAATATATTTGCTAGTGGTGCCTGACTTGTCTACCACTGAGTTTGGACCAAAGTCTCTTAGCTTCGGAAAATCTGCGCATACCACGCTCACAGCCAAGAATGTAACAAATGCGTAGAGCAAACGTTTACGAGTGTATCCCGTCATACTAAAAAGAATTGTTCAACAACCGAGTAAAATGTAAAATCACGCAATATCTCGTGCATGGATTTAATGAGCCAAATCTTTCTCGCTCCCTTCATATACACCTAATATGAGATATCTACAAGAATCGATACACTACTTCTACCGCTACGCTGTCTCTGAAGAGAACTATCTAAGTCGAGAGTGGAACGAGGAACTTCAAAATATAAAATTCATGCTAGATTGAAAAGATTTTTCAAAAAGAAAATATGCTGCATTGTTATTTCTAGAAGAGTGACTTTCACTTGGCACGTTGTCAAGACTACTACTCAGTCTCGTGTTCACATTGGTCATTCACAATCCAAGGCGGTGTATTCGTTTTCTTGCATCACTTGCGGGCTGCGGCTTCTCACACAGTTGACGGCCGAGTCGATCTCCTGTGCGTTTGTCTCTGTTTTTTCTGACCAAAGATAGTTTTTTAGTGTGACTAGCGAGCGTATATTTACATACAACTGTTATTTTTTTACACATTGATTAGGTATATGCTACATATTTTTGAAATATCCGATATATATCTCGATATTAACTATGAAGCCTGTGGAATAGAAGGCGATCTCTGGTAGAGGGTACATCCAATTTATATATATATATATATATATATTTAAACAAAAGACGCCCATTTTCCTGATTTCGTGACGTTCACAGTTCACAGTTCACACTTCACACCCCTGGAAGGTCACAATGGAACTTGGTCCAAAATCATTAGCTCCCAGATGATTTTCAGCTCTGAAGTGCGACATGCCACAACGTCTTATGTACTTCGTGGGCTTCTGGATCTCTTCCAGCCTCCGCTGCCACAGTTGTCTATACTCTACACTCATGCAGATTTTTTTTTAAACAATTGTCTAAATTAGGCGTTTCGGATGTGCTGTGGTTTACAGTCCCCCCCCCCCGCTGGTTTTTGGGACTTCGAGTGCATTTGTGGCTATTAACTTCAGGTGTATTTTCGACACATGCGGACCTGTTTTGGACTGCCACACTAAAAAGATATATACGTAAAATATTGGCACAGTTCTGAGTTTGGTATTCAAAACTGATGACTATACAAAGAGGCCTTCCGTTGTTGGGTTCATTTTGGGCGAATTTGGCTTCATATTGACTTTGAATTGGCTTCATATTGGCTTTTAGTTGGCTTCAAATTGGCTCCAAATTAGCTTCATATTGGCTTCATATTGGCTTCATATTGGCTTCTGGCTTCATATTGGCTTTATATTGGCTTTTAGTTGAGTTCAAATTGAGAAAACGTGTTTTTTTAAGTATTGAGAATTTGAGACCCAATCCGGAATGAAACCCTATGGGTACAAATAGAGGTCAGGACAAATTTGTAAGTCAAAAGTCCCCCCCCCCTCTGGTTTCCGGACCCTCTCTGGTGGCTAAACCAAAGTAGCACATCCGAACCGCCTAAAGCGGTGTAGCACTTGTCAATTTAACGACTATTCAACCCAAATGTGAAATGATCCAGTCCGACTATAAGTACTACTCGCTGGCACTCCGAAGGCTACTATCAGTACTCGAAAGCATGGAATGCCGCAGCCCGCATTGCAAACGATAAAATAATAAGTACAAAACAAAATCAGTCATTACTCAATTATTGTCATGTTGTTCGTCTGTAACTCTGTATCAGACGATCATCAATCTATATCAGTCCGTCGAGCCTTTCCGGCTGTGACACTGACTCGAGTGTACAACTTCGCGACTTGACCGTTGACACAAGAAGAGCTGAAGGCCTGTCCGGCCTGTTGGCGATGCTAAATCATATTTTGTATTTGTATTTTTGATTCTTTTTCAAAAAGAATCTCCCTGTTCACTGTGTTCAGTGCATATTGAGTTTTCGAGTCTAATTTATTTAGAATGAAGGCTATGATTTTCGGAATTTCGGCTAAATATTTGTTTTGATTTGGGGATGGTTTTTTTTAATGAGAATTTGTTTTTGAAAATGGGTCTGTACTAAAAACAAAATGAAAAATAGATTTTTTTTTACAAAATAATAGATATAAAATAGGACAACGGCCCTATTTTAATTTGACACAAAACAGTAAAGGTATTTTTCAACTTTGAAACGCAACCGTAAATATCATAAACTTAGAAAGTATTTAGGCGAAGTACGTTAGTTTATGTACTTTTTTTTTTGGATAATAACGTAAAGCCATTTTTCCGAGGGTCTGGAAATCTCTGGGACCCTCGGAAAGTTGACTCGAAATAGTATAATTCCATTTTTTGTGAAAAATCGTTCCTGTACATTCATTGGTCCACAACTATTTTGAGGCAACTATTTCGGTGAACTATTTTTCGATTATTTATACGGGCCCGCCGACGATAGGCGACACCAAAAAACCGCTTTTGTTTAAAAAACAAATACTGAGAGCCTGAGGCAAACCATTCATAATTTGTTTTTTAGAAACAGATTCAAAAATATGAATACATAGAGCGCGAGCGACGAGGCCGTGGACCCCCTGACCCTGGGGCCTGGCGTCTGCCGTCTGGCGAGACTTTAGACTCGAGTACTGTACTGTATGTAAATATTCGACTCACTTTCGAGACTCGAGACTCGAGGGCCTCATACCATTTTTTTTTTAAGATTTAATGTCGTGACTCCTTGGCTGATGCAGTGATGGCCCTGTGTCTCTATGTCCGTTGAGGCTTATGTCCTATAGTTAGAGCACCTCGAATAGTAGTATCGTTCGCAAAAGACTCATATGCAATGTAAAATTGTAAATGACTAAGTGACAATGTACATATGTGTACTATGTACTGATGTACGTACTCTCTGTCTCTCTCTCACTCTATCTACTCTACAGTCTCTACTATTCTTCTCTCTTGTGAGAGAGTAGAGATGTCAGAAGAGAGAGAGAGTATGTAGTAGAGAGAGAGGGTAAAAACTAAATAGAGTGAGAGGGGACAACTAGAGTATAATATGCACTCTAATCACTCTCTCGGACTCTCCTGCATAGTAGAGAGAGATGTTGCGGTCAAAAGCCGATGACAATTCGGGGAGCGAACACTATGTACGCATATATATATATATATATATATATATATATATATTATGTTATATTTAAAAAACAGGCAATTCTCGATTTTGAATTTGTCTCGGACATCTTAGCAAAAATGCTTTGACTCTTTCTTTATGTTTTAAACAAAAAGGTTTTTAAAAAACCCGAGTGTTTACTATTTTAAAAATATGTATGCAACTGATTGTAACATACATAAATATACATACGTTATTACATAGTAAAGTGTAAATTACTAAAATACATACCTGGAAGTCTGGAACTTGATCGAAGCCTGGAATTTTTGGAAATAGAATTAGATGAGAGTACATAATATTGAGATTTGTAAGACAGTAAGACTGCGACAGTGCGACCACTATTGCTGCGGCCGGGTCTTGCGTATCTGAATTGTACATACTGATACATAGACTTGGATGTTTTCTTGTTTTTTTTTGTCGTGAGACTTGAGAATTGAGATCTCACAGTTTTTGCCCCGTTTGAGATCAAATTTCAAAATTTGCAGCCCTCTTCATTTTTTTTTCATCTGTCACAGTAGATTCTGAAATTCATCGAGCGCATTGCGCAGACCTGCTGGATCCTGATCACAGATCAGTGAATGTGACCAGTGATCTTGTTGTAAAGTTAAAATATCAGATTTATTAGACAGAAGGGCTTGTATTATACTCCTGTTCTCAATCTGAAAAAATAGTTGGATATGACGATATCGTAATAGTCCAAAATCGATGTTGATACGAGTCACGACTTCCGACGAATGTCTTTTATACGGCACTGGTGACAATACAACTAATAACCAGCTCAGGCCCAGTTTCCTACCAGTATCAAACTTGTACTTTTTCGAGTTTACTTTGCTTTTAAGATGTAATTGGCGTGATTTTAGCCCATTTATTGTCTTGTTGTATTAGTTCAACTGTAAAATCATGGGCGAATCAGATTGTCACGAGTGCCGTAAAAAGACGTTCGTGTACAGTGTACAGATGTACTCAGTACTGACCTTTATTTGTGAAAATGGCTCAAATTTGGATATGTATGTATTCGAGCAGACGTCTCTGTTATGTATAAATACAAACCCTACTCTACTACACGAAACTTGAAAAATCAGGGTATTTACTATAAACACTATTTACACAGGTATGCATACATCATTGCGATTTCAATTGGCCGTGTGGCGTGTTGTGAAAAAAGGCTAAACAAAACGGCCTACGGACCTGTCCGTTCTCCCTTAAATTTTACACTTCTAGAGGGTCATGACAAACCGCAAATCGCTCGGCCTGCCCCGGGCCCGGCTTTCAGGACTTTTCACGACATTTCGGAAAATATGGCCTGAAAGTAGTTTCAGACCATCCATTTTTTCGGTTGGTAGACGTTGTGGTTAGGGTCTACATATCGTTCACAATCTTTTTTGCACTAGTATATCAATGCACAGCATACTTCTTTGTCGCAAGACTTGATGTCCTTTTTCGTCTCAGTCCTTTAACATGGTAGCAGTACACATTATCGCCTGAAAATGTAGAAAAAACACACGGTGTTATTACAATCTCGCCCAATAGTCAACAGACTGAAAATTATACCCACCACTGACTGTATATGTGACCGGTGACCCTGACTATAAATATGCACATACATGTCGGAAACCCTATACTACATAAAATACTTACAGGCATATTGGAAACGTTTTAAACCTACGGCAGCAACGGTACTTTCCGACATGTCGTTATCTGGACAATCGCGAAACATTTATTGCCCCTGGCCCTTGGGCCCTTGGCCCTTGCACATTCGCGAGTTGCTTTTCTTTTGACATTTCTCACGATTTTTTAATGTTTTAGTCGTAAATATTGCTGTATGGTGCAGTTGCCATAAGATAGTTGGCCAAATGATCCCTCCTGCCTCGACCCACGGAGCTCGAAATAATGATCCGATTCGAGAGTTTGATAGCGGAAAATTCTCAGGGAGACCTGATCTGAAATATTACCCCAGGACACATTTTTGATATTGCACCTGTTTCAATACCTGATTCTGACTGATTTGGAAAATATTGGCCGTTTTTATTTCAGTATTCACCCTTCCAGTACGAATTTTGGACTTTTGAGGCCAGAAATCGACATGCCCGGTCATTTATAAGATCTGTCGAATTGTCAAAATATTGATATTGATATTCTTTCAGGTCGACAAGAATATTTGTGTGTGTGGCACGCACATTAACACTATCCTTGAGTTCAGTGCGCAATCACAGAAGTATTGATATTGAGTTCAGTGCAGCCCAGTAGTATTGATATTACATATGCGTATTTCTACCGAAGTTCCATTGTGAGTGCAACCCCATCGAGCGATAGTGGGGCCGAGCCAAGTTTGAAGTGCGAGAAGTACACGATGATACGTGGGCAGGCCTTCAAAAACATGTCATCGAAACTCTGAACAATGTTAAGCTGGATACAATTAGATGCTTTGTGAGGGGTGCCTATCGTTACCTCGATTGCCAGCAAAAGGGTCTTACTCTGCAACTTGCAGCGTTTGCGAAAAATAAATATACTACTCATCGACGTGTACCTGAGAATGTATATGACATAGTCACCGCCGAGATGGCTAATAAGAAATGAGCCAGCAGAAGTTCAAGTAATTTTTTTTTTGCTATAACCCGGAGAAATTGTAACATGTTATCTTTTCTATAGGATAGACTTCTACTACCAAAAGACATTCTGTGATCAGTTCTGAGACAAGTGGGCATGGGCAGTGTCAATGTTGGCCACCCCAGGTCCATATTTTAGCCATTATAAAAATGGCCGAAAATTCTTATGTTCTTAACCAGCCTTATCCCACCATACAACCCGATTTTGCGCACTCATTTTTTTTCTCGGTGTAATTCGCATTCTTATTTAAAAAAACATTTGCCCGACTATCTTAACTTCGTTTTTTTTTAAAGGCAACTGCAATATTTACTTTGTAGTTTTTATTTTTTATTTATAAAAAAACAAAAGCTTATTTTCTTCCCCCAGAGCCTCAGAGGCGTCAGGCAGCCGCCAGCTCAAGGGGCCAGCAATCAGCACATCATCGATATCAGATAGTACATACTTTTGGTTACATAGTTGTCTGTAGCATTGGACTTCAACTGAGGTTCGACTTCAAATCAAGAGTTGTGGGTGATTTCAAAGACCAATGATCAACCCTTACTAAGTCTACTGTAAAAAAAGTATTGGATATTTTGAAAACAATGCCTTTTCTTAAAAGAAACGTTTTTTTATGACTATTTTTATTTTACCAAAATCCACAGACAGAGGGATTTTATATTCGTCCAATAATCGATGTGTGAATATTTATATATAAAAATGTGTCCATTGTGGCACGCGGAAATTTGTCTGCCTAAAATTTGGATATGTGTGTATTCACTATTCTCGCGGACGTCTTTGTATACAAATTCGAAAAACATTATACAGATCCCACCTTCCTTTACAACCGCAACTTCTTGCATACAATTGCGACTGCTTGAATACATCACACAATATGATTTTTAAAGTTGGCCAACAATACGGCACTTACGGGAATCCACTAAGGGACCTGGTTAAGCGATCCCAAAAAAAAGACAAGTCGACACTCAGACCAGTAAATCACACCATTGCAATCAGCATAGATAGCGTGGGCAGTGAATACGGCATCATAGATTCATTCGGTCCTTTCTCTCACACAAGTACATGCACCGCCATATCACAGACACAGGCGGGATTGTGCAGGCCGTCCGTGAATACTCGTGGACCGGAGGTAGATCCCAAGGTACTAGTTAACACGTTAACGTTTTATTCTGGCTACAGGGGATATTGTGTAGCGGAGCATGAAGGCAATAAGAGGCTGCTCTGTCAGCATCCAGCGCCGTACGGCCATCCTCGTGAGTGTCGATAAGTATGGAGTGGTTATCTTGTTAATTGACGACGGGAATTTGAAATACAGGATAAGTTGGCACGAGATGGCTGATATTGATCATATGCACACAGATGGGACATCCACGCCATTGCGCAAACGGAAGCACAACAACTATATTGCACTACGATTAAAGAATAGCTCAGTATACGTGATCAATTCACTACAAATGCCTGAACTGTTCGCGTTAGTCGACAAATACATTCCAACAGGTTCAAAATGAATGCCAAATGAAGTACATAAGTAAAACAATTAAAAAAGAAAGGAGACATATTATAACAGTCTTTTTTTAGTTCAATTTAGAAGGCTACGTTCCTTTAAAAAAAGGAATTAACAATAGTTGCCGTCAAATGGTATGTTCTCTAGGCCTGTGTGTGTTGTAAATACATTTGTAGGCTGTAGTCTTCTCATGTACTATTGCCATCTATCGCTTGTCATCGGCCTTAACCACTTTTATCCTTTCGTCGTGTGTAGTTTTCGCCTACAGTGAAAGATTTCTTGGTAGTCGACAAGAAGGATATGTACCAATTCTACATATTTGAATAGTGTTTCAGGTATTTCAATGACATGTCCTATTTTTCAAAAGTATCTAGAATGGGTTGGTGGCTCATAAATACAATCAAAAAGAAATACTGGGATTTCATCGAGGACAGGTGACAGATACTAATTAATCAATGGAGGAAGAACCTCCATGGAACCACCGGTCCAAGAGACTGGTCAAACAAAGCGAGTAAAGATTTAAAAGTCCACGGAGACGGCTTGCAAGTTAGACTGGATGGCAACAGAGGCACTCCAGTGTTGGGTACTAGTTATATATATATATATATATTATATGTATATATGTATATATATATATATATATATAATATATAGATACATATATATATATATATATCTATATATATTTAGAGTGCTTGTATATTTTCACAAGTATGAATAAAACCTTAGTGCAAGCGCAGAAGATCATAAAATATTGTAACTTCAATGCATATCTATTTATAATATTCCTATCGTATCGGGTAAATATCATGTAAACGTCCGTCTCAGCCGATACTAGCTAGAAAACAGTCCTATTAGCCTGCTGGTACTATTTTTACGCTAAATGTCACAAATTCCTCCAGGCCAAATCGACTGTATTTGCCTACAGTCCCATCACAGACCAAACACCCCACCACACGAACACCCCACAAGGGCTGTTCTGACATTGCCGTATAAACAACACAGCCGTTTCATCGTACGTATTCCATCCTATATCGTACGCCAACGAGCTGGACCCAGCTCACCCGAGAATCTACTCAGAAAGCTCATCCGCACCCCATTTCTCTGCCCTATTCCACTTCATATGATTGCACTCGTTCTCACGGCATATGTAAATACTGAGTGTGGAAGGAAGCCCCGATGTGAAGCTAGTCAGCTGTACGAGCTGATCTAAAAATAGAACCGTGCAGATCTAAAAATATAACTGTGCACCTATTCATTCCCACTTCGGACCATGGCCCGTTTCTGCGGAGTGGGTGCGGGGGTGGAGATGGTGCTCTTACCCAGAGCTTTGCTCAATACCAACTCTCTATACTTCTCGTAGTGTATGTAGTTAGTCGTGGTGATGAGATCCTGGGAAGGTGTAGAGTTGGGCGTTTGTGAGGAGGCGTTAGTATTATATTGTAGTGGATCTGTTAGTCTGTTTACTATCTGTATTGCTAAAGGATTGTATTGTATTGCGGGAGGCTATGGTGTGATACGACATGTGTATGAAACAAACTCTTTTAACGTGGAATCCTTCAAATTTTCTGCATAGCATTTGGGCGCACTCATTTGGCGTTGAATAGGGGCGAAAACAGATACCTTTCTTAACAGTATAATGCGCATACTACAGCAGATTGACAAGTGGCCTTAGTCGAATATATATATGTATATATACATATACAGATATATATACTACTAAAAGTTATATACCAGTGCATAACCTAGTCAACTGCTTATTCTCCATGTTTCGGTGTCTAACGGTGCATGCGTCTACATCGAGATGTTGTATGAGAGCTACCGATACCGCATCGAGTACTTGTACGACGAGTGCATGGTCCTGCCTATTTATGGCATCACAATAATAACATACAACAGTATATTATCACATTACTTCTCTTATACATTAATGGCCTCCCTTTCGAGTCGGTTAACATTGTGTTTGCGTAGTTTGCAATGATAGTTAGAAAGTGAGAGCTTCGCATATGCATGTATGTCTTGTTGGTGTATTTGGCGCATGTATATAGAGATCAATAACAGGTATCAAGTATATATATAAATAGATATATATATAACAGGTAGAATTTATACCTGTATATATAGATAAATAGCACATTTGTACATTTGTACATGTATGTATACTTCGTATACCACATTTTCTCTCTCGCATATATGGAGGGCACTTACGTTCATATGTTGCCGCAGTATCAAATTTCGCAGATGGATGAAGTCTGAATGGGATTCGTTGTCCATTTCCACCATTCCCCATTCGTATTTACGACCCCGTACCTGTATAGGTATGTGTGCATATATATATATATATATATATATATATATGTTAGATATCGTTAAAGAGTCCAATCCTCGGCTATCCTCAATAGCGGAAATTTTCCCGCAAGATAAATGTTATACCCAACTGCAGATAGACCAGCACACAGCAACAATCATCTGCACACCCACACAAACACCCACACCCACACACCCATACACTCAGAGTGAGAGAGACATATATATACGTATTTGTTGCATATGCAACTATACATACCGTCCGTCCGTTGAGCTCGTACTTGTCACGAGACGATGTAATGGCGAATGGGATGTGTTGTTTGTAGTCCTCTTTTTCGCCCCCATTCGCCTCATTCGCTGCCACTGATTGGCTTTCATCGGCGCTGTCATCATCGCTATCGTCCGCGGGCAGTACACTGTAATAGATACACGTGTATATTGAAATAAAGTTGACTGGTCGGTTATATGTTTAAGTATGTGTATATGTATATGTACGTGTATGTGTATATGTAAATGTACGTGTATGCGTATGTATAAGTACAAGTATAAGTGTATGTGTGCGTGTATGTGTGTATGTGCGTGTATGCGCGTGTGTAAGTGTATATTTACTTGTGAGCGTACATAAATTTTTTATGTAAGTGTATATTGATACATGTTCGGCCAGGTCGGTCTATTTCTTAACCAATGTATAAGAACTATTACAATGCTTAACAGTACATGCACAATGCATATTCGCACCTAACATTGCGCAGAGAGTTGCTACTGGCACTCTCCCCATGGCTATCATCTGTGGGCAGTATACTGTTTTATACACAGGCATACGAAAGGGTCTAAAGACCTAAAACCCAAAACCCTAAAACTCAAAAGACCCCTCGGTGCATGTAGCAACATACGTCTAAACACATACACAGTATATATGTGTTGATGTACTATCAATATTTAGACATAGTAATAGGCCCGTTTTCTTATATATCTTGTACATCAGACAATCCGAAACAATGAACCATCTACCTACCAAGGCCCGTTCTCTTATATATCTTGTACATAAGACAATCCGAAATAATGAACCATCTGCCTACCAGCCTGCTGAAAACGCCAATTTCCTCTTGAGATGAAACACTTACAACTCATACGGATCGAAAGGCCTGATGCCCGCTCTCTGGAGGTCTCGGCTTATGGCAAGCTTAAGGCTGTGACGCTCATCGACTGTCAGTGTGTCCGATTTACCGATCACGGGAATTATGTTCACCTGTATGCAACAAGCAAAGGACCACGTGAGCACGCGAATATATTTGTCTATATATATATATATATATACATGTTCACCTGTGGATGGCAGTGGTGAGACACATATGATAAAGTAGATAGATCTATACGTATAATGGTATTCTTTGTGGTAGTCTGGTACACCTGTGGTGGTAATGGAGAGTAACTGGAAAGATTACAACGGAAAAGTATAGTGGTATACTTTTTACGGAAATGCCTTGGGAGAGATGTGTACCGATTCTTGCACTATCATATATATACGTGACATATAAATATCTATTTACTGCATGTAGATATAGATACTACCGATTCTCACATTATCATTTTATATATATACATATACATGACATATACATACATATACGTGACATGTAAACACATACACAAGATGTATATATACATATATATACTATATGTATATAGGTATAAATATCGGAATTGAAAGGTAGATATACACATATATATACTATATGTATATAGGTATAAATATCGGAATTGAAAGGTAGATATACACATACACTATATGTATATAGGTATAAATATCGGAATTGAAAGGTAGATATACACATATACCATATGTATATAGGTATAAATATCGGAATTGAAAGGTAGATATACACATATACTATAGGTATATAGGTATAAATATCGGAATTGAAGGGTAGATATACACATATACTATATGTATATAGGTATGAATATCGGAATTGAAAGGTAGATATACACACAAATTATAAACATATATGAGCACTATTCCATGTTCTGCAGATTGGCCATAGTGCCGATACCCAAATGCAACAACCCTCAGTGGTGTTGAGAGAGATAAACTACACGCACTCACACACATCTATATGCATTGTCGCACAATAAGGTATACAGATGGCAATTGAAACAGACACCTGTATACATACATACACACCGATATGGATACAGGCATACATATAATTCCATATCCTGCATACATATAATTCCATATCCTGCAAACTTGTCATGGTGGTGATGTCCAGCGATGACAATCCACGAGCGCTGGGGTGCATGTATACAATCGCACGGCTAAAACAGACCTCAATACACCTTGTATCATCATATTATTTATGTATCACCCTACTATATATATATATATATATCATATATATATATATATATAAATACCATTGCGAATGAGAACGGGACACATATGTACACATAGACTTGAGCATGCACTCATCATACCATATCCTGTAGACTTGTCATGGTGGCGATGTCCAGCGGAGACAGTCCACGAGCGTTTGGAGAGATGAAGTAGATGCATGCATGCACTCGCGTATCCGACACACGACCTCGTTTTGGCGCCATTTCCTGCCACCCCCCCCAAAAGGTATTAAAGCGTTTGAGTCATTTTTTCTTTTAGGAAGGAACAAGTGTAACAAGTGTAAATAGTCGAACTAATCAGACCCTAGGGGTGTGATCTGAGGGGACTTAATATATTCAAAAGATGTGTTCAGAGGAGACAGAGAGCATCTGTTAGATTCGTAAGCATTCAGAGAGAGAGAGTTTCTCGCAGCATGTAACAATGCATCGCGTGAGTGCGTGAGTGTGTGTACATGTACAGTTGTGGCAGAAGGATTTGGCAAGCTAGTAAGTGGTCGTTAGTGTATCAGAACTCGGAGCTAGCATGCCATGTATTTAAAACAGGCACTGAATCCCTCGCTGAGTACAGAACTGCGAGACCTTCTCCGTATAAAACCCTAAACCCTAAACCGAGGCTGAAAAGAGAGCATACGTAAGAGATAAGATATCGAAATTAAACGGACGTACAAAATCCGAACACAATCTGAAGTCGTACAAAATCCGAACACAATCTGAAGTACATGGAGAGACGGACTACTGGAGGTTACATAGTTGACACTGTGTCAACAACCAATTGTCATCCATCTGACGCCCTGTTGGTGTATCTGGTATATCAGTAATACCATCGGTAATTATGAGACAGCCCCCTGTATGTGGTATCTCCCTATACAATTGGTCACTAGTATTATCAGTATATATATATATATAACTCAGTACCTGAGAGAGAAAACGCTTGAACTGGCTCTGCACGTAGGCCTTAGCGCAGTTGTGTGCGCCTGTGTTGTCGATGAAGTCGCCGTATCCGGGTGTGTCCACAACCGTTAGCTTGAGATTTACACCACGTTCCTCCATGTCCTCTAGATCAGAGAAAGTGGGGCGCCAAATTTAGAGTGAGATATACATTTGACTGGTAGGTATATATTGGTGGTGACAATACGTCGTGAGCAGCATGTGAGGAGCCAACAGTGCGCAGATCACGGGGGTATTCAGTTCACTATAATGTATATATATATATATATATACATATATATATCAAGCAGTACTTCACGGAACAACAGGATCAATTGAAAGGTATCGTATACTGCCCAACTGTGCAATTGGAATGGGTGCCGCGGTTTGCACAACCACTTAAGGAACTAAATAAACGTAAAAAAAGAGATATCGCACACGGACAGCTGTTTATAACATAGGACTATCAAAACGTACAGCAGATACACATATAAGTTCGCACTGATCTTCAGCGTAGCAACGATAGATGTATTACTATGTGAGTGTAGGCCGATGAGATATTCTTCTGCATATCGCGTGAGTACTAGTACAGAGAGAGGAAAGCATCTTCACTAGCCACAGGAACGCTAACTCATACATATATATCACCAGACATTCACACACACACACACAAATACACGCTCGACTGACGCGTGACTGTGCAAAGATAATATCATATATGTCACCACAGACACCCACAGCACATACACAACACGAGTGACTGTGCGAGTATAATGACACACATATCACCACAGAAACCCACAACACACACACAGTACACACATACATACACACGAGTGACTGTGCAAGTATATCAACACACATATCAACACTAAGTACCCAATACAACACACAACTTACGCGTGACTGTGCGAATATAAGGAGAGGTGGCATTCTTGTCAATAGGCTCTCTCTGGAAGTTGTGGGCAAAAAGAGAGTCCACAAATGTGGACTTGCCCAGCCCCGATCGCCCGAGTACCATCACTACAAAACGGTAGCGATGACGAGCTCCATGATTGTGCGCCTGGGGGTACAAGTGAGATATTGTATTAGGGATCATATTGTATTAGAGGTCTATAAAGAATACCCATTTAGAAACTATACCGGTGCATTGTCTGGGCAGATATAGGAACCATAGTA